AGGAAAAGTAACTATTTTAAAACAAAGAAGGAAGAGCAAAGAGAAAGGAAACATGAGTGTTTAATTGAGATAACTGAAGTGCTGGATGAATCTCATTAAATAAAGTCATTACAAATAAAATGGCCTGAAAATAATAGCCTGTTATAACCATGGATTACCTTGCAGAAATGAACCTTTTGGTAATGACATACAGGTTTACTGTTTTAAAATATAATCTACTTTCTATTTACTGTTTAGCTTATAAAAAATGTTATTTTAAATGCTATGTCCTAAGAATGTAACTGTTGTTTTATTCTGCATAATCTTCATAACCTCAATTAAGTCTATATTCTCATATAATCTGACACAAATGGTCATTTGAAAAATCTCAACCAAGGTCAAAATCAGCTTAGAAAAGAATCTGAGAAACAGAAAATTCTGCAGTGCCAAGTGTTTCCTTTTAGAGTTTCTCTAGTCCAAGGGTCAGCAAATTATGGCCCCCAGGCCACACCCAGCACACAATCTCTTCTTGTATGGTCCCTGAGCTAAGAAACACATATAGTATAAATAGTTATTATATACATAAAGTCCTTGATGTTTCTTCTTGTCCCACAAACCTGAAAATAATTTTTCTCAATCCCTTATAGAAAAAATTTGTTGGCCCCTGCTCTGGTCCACCCATAACCTCACATACCCTTTTCTTCACATACCGGTGAAAATGAGTGATGTTCTGGCCAAGGCAATTCAGTGTGGAAAAAGGGCTGTGCATTCAGCATACCCATCTGAGTTTCCTCCTAAGCACGCGGAATTCCGTATTTCCCAGCCATTCTTGCAGTTGGCTGGGGCCATGTGACTGAGTTCCAGCCAAAGGCATGTGGTCTGGCCTTAAAGCATCCTGAGCAAGTCTCCCTATAGTCTTCTCTCTTCCCTTGTCTGCTGGATGGAGGTTCTAGAAAATGCATAGCCAATAAATAAAAGAACCGGGGGCCCCTTAATCAAAGGAAGACTTCCCTTTGAAGACCAAAATATTCAACTTTGCAATAAGTAAATTTTTATTGCGTTAAGCCATTGAACTGTTGGTCATGGCAGCCAATGTTACTTTCCTTAATACATATATAAAAAATTTTCAATATTGCTGTGCCCCCTATCACCCTCACAGGTGGTTTACTCATATACACACCAAGCGAAGTGTGAGAACAGTTTATCCTTCAATCTTTGTGAGTAACCCAAACATCCCTTTAAACTATTGCTTGGCATTCATATTCCCAACAAATAAAATCTTTATTCCAAAACGTTACTTTTTGTTTGCTGCTTATGGATAAAATTGAGCCACGATTTCAGAACTAAGTTAGACACCAGGTAAATAAAGAAAAATTCCACCCTTTGTGAAATAACCACCCAAATTTGAGCTCCAAAGATGTGGAAACAGCTCTTTCATGCTTATTCCTCAACAAGGCTATTTCTCATCTAACGTTCATCGTCCTCTTTAGAGTTTACCAAGTGAGAATCTTCGGATTTCAGTGTAGACACATCTGGCCCACAAATGAGGCCCCGGCCCCCAATCACTGCGAAATCCTGCCGCAAGCATTGTGATGAGATCTTGTGTTTATTAGTAGAGATGTGAGGACCAGTCAGTCACAAAGCTACTTTGAGTGGAGACATCTCTGACACGGCACTTAAAGTTGTCAGCTGGATGTTTTCTGCTGAGGAACTGCTGTCACTAAATTCACTTCTGACTGCAAATGCGCCAGTTTTTGCTTTCGTTCAGATACAGCCTCACCTGGAGCTGTTGAAAAGCTTATTTTACCTACTCTTTAGTTGTGAAAGAACCTGTTGGTTTTTGTTCTTCATTTGAATGAGCTTTTTAAATTCCCCGAGATATATTTAGGTTATTTTCATTAAAAAGTGCATCATAAAGTTAAGGTTTTACTATTTTTAAATCACTGAAGGGAACTGTGATTAATAACAAATTTATTTCTCCTTTTTACACCAAGCCTGGCTTTCAGCAACAACAACAAACCCAATTTAATGCTAAACTATTAAGAATGAATTGATAATGGCTTTGAATGAGAGCAAATAAAAAAAATAACTGATTCATAGAGGAAAGTCACCCTCTAATACAGTCAGTGCCCACTGCCCAGATGGGACTGCACAAGATTGGCGACTTAGAACAAAGTGGAATAGATTCCCAGAAATTAGGTGAAGTCATGTTTCCTTTCCACATGAACTTATTTTCAACTAAGAGCTCTTCCCACTTGACCTCATCAAAGTGGCTCAAGACTTCTGCACCTTGAAAGAGAGCTCCCAACAACTGGGCAAATTGGCACCGTGGACCCTGTGATGTGATGCACCGAGAACACATTATCCAGGTAGCATCCTGCCCAAAGTGCATGATCCAAAATTGACCCTGGAAAAGCAACTGTGCATGTATAAACTGAAGGTATTCTGCAAAATCAACCAGCCTAGACTTTTTAAAAAATGTTAGTAATACTGAACACCAAAAGAAAAACGTGGGGAAGAGATGGGGACTGTTCAAGGCAGGCATAAAGAGACATGACAATGACAATTAAATGCAATAAGATGCCCAAAGGTACAAACTTCCAGTTATAAAATAAATAAGTTATGGGGACATAATGTACGGCATGGTGACTATAGTTACATAATACAACATACCCGTTATGTATGTTTAAAAGTTCTTACGAGGGTAAATCTTAAAAATTCTCATCACAAGGGAAAAAAATTGTAACTATTGTATAGTGATAGATGCTAACTAGACTTATTGCTGTGATCATTTTGCAATATATACAAATATTGAATTGTTAGATACCAAAAACTAATATAATAAGTCAATTATATCTCAAGTTTTAAAATGCAATAAGTAAGTCTCACCTGAATGCTGGATAGAAAAACAAATAAAGGATTTTTGTAGGGACAATTAGAAACTTTTGAGTATGGATTGTAAATTAGATATTATTGTATCAATGTCAAATGTCCTGAGCATGATAATTAGCTATATTGTGATGATACAGGAAAATCTCTTTATTCTTAGAAGAGACATGCTGAAGTCTCTTCTTTGGGGTGAGAGGTTGAATGATCAGTTTTTACTGCATGACAAACCCCCACGCAACAGCAACCATATATTTAGCTCATCCACTATTCAGGGTGGGCTCAGCCAGGGGGTTCTGTGGGATCTCCGCTAGGTTTCCTCATGTGTCTCTGATCAGCAGCAGGTCAGCTGGCTGGTTCTGCTTCTAGAACTAGGCTGGCTGTTGGTTGCAGTTGGCTAGGACCCTGTCTCTCCTCGTCCAGCAGGCTAGCTGGTCCTGGCTCAGTCACACGGAAGGGGTGACATTCCAAGACAGACACAGAGAGAGAGGAGGCCAGCGAGGCTGCTCGAGGCCTGACCCGGGCCAGTGGGAGGGCACTTGTGTGGCGGTGAGTCAAGGCGACCACAGGCCAGCACAGAGGCACGAGGGGATGCCCCGCACTGGGATGGGAGAAGCTGCGAAGCCGCATTGCAAAGGGCCACACAATGGAGGGGAAACTGGGGTTATCTGTACAATCTACCCCAATGACGTATGGGTGTCCATTCAATTATACTTGCAACTTTTCTGTTAAGTTTGAATTTTTTCAAAATAAAAGTTAGGGAGACGGATAGAAGATAGCACAAGAAGCCAGATACAAAAGAGATATACTATATTATTCAAGTTATATTATTTTTTCTAAAGTCAAATCCAATGTATGGTGATAAAAGTCATCATATTGGTAACATTTGGGTAGTTAGCTTCTGGGGTGCTGGTTATACACTATTTCTTTAGGAGCGCAGTAAAAATTCCATTGAGCTGTAAACTTAGGACACGTAGTCTTTCCCATATATATGTCATACTTTAATTTTTTAAAGTTTACCTTGAAAAATAGACAGGGCATTGGTCTTGGAGCTGAGAAACCTGAAGCTGCCACCGAGTCCCACTGTGATATTGAAAATGTCTGTTTCATTCTCTGGGCCCCAGTTTCCTCAGCTGTAAAAGGAAGCTGGGTGGACTCGATGGGCCCTTCCTACTCTGAGATTCAATTCTGACTTAATAGTTTGCTCTCTTCCTGCCTAGAAATTACTTCTCAGAGTTTTTAAAAAGGACTTCCATGATGTATAATGTATAACGTATAACCTTATAATTATGAAGCACTTCCCTCCTCCAGCTGTAACATGTCCCAGAGATTTTATTTATTTTGCTTTCCAGAATTTGCGCAGAAATAAGTACAGCAAAGCAAAAGCAAAAGAGTGGCCTCTTAAGAAACAGATGAGGTCTTCAAGGGCCAGCAGGACATCAGATTTTAATATCACACTGGAAATGCAATAACAGGCCCTGCCGCATAAGGAAGAACCATCATGAACCCTTTCAAAAAGCCAGTCCTATTTCCCTGCCACTCCAGCCAGAGCCAGGAAAGGACACCCTCACTCCCCAATGAAGGTTGTTAGCCTCTCCAGTCATGCACTCAGTGATCTCTTGGATTCTTCTTACCTTCAGTGGCTTTTAAGGCGAAGTGGAGAGCCACAAGCATCCCCGCTATTTCACGTGTGTGTGTGTGTGTGTGTGTGTGTGTGTGTGTGTGTGAGAGAGAGAGAGAGAGAGAGCGCGTCAGGAAGCAGATGGGCCAGGTGTCCCACAAGCCTAGCTGTGGCTGCAGGGGGTGGAGCCCCTGGGAGCTCGCCTCTGAGCCTCTGAGGGTGGTGATTTTCTCACTTCTGAACACTGTGAGCCCTTCATAGTTCAAAGGACTCTAATGGAACAACACTTCGGGCTTTTTGTTTGTTTGTATTTCCCCAAGGGCTTAGAGTTTACCTCTAAGACTCCTTTCAGCTACAGTTTTCAGCAGTTTTCTAAAAGCTGCATCCATTGAGCAAATATTTATGGAGCATCCACTATGTGAATTCAGAAGTGAATGAAACAGACAAGCTCCCTGCCTCATGCACACAATATGGAGTATTCATCTATTAGGCAGAAGGATCTGGAACTACTCACCTTGTCCTACTGTGGGAGTAATATCTGAACTTCACAACAGCCCCAGAGTAGGCATTCTTGGCTCCAAGTTAGAGGTGAGGAAGCAGACCGAGGGGGGTAAAATAACTTGTCCAAGATGTTCCATGGCTAGTAGGTGGAGTCCATCCAACCCCACTCTGCAGTAATTCCTTCGTATATGGCACCTAAGACGAGGTGGTGTCTTGCGTCAGTCTGTTAGAACAGAGATCGGCAAACTGAGTCACATGGCCCAGTAGCCCGTTTGTGTACAGTTTTATTAAAACACAGCCACACCCATTTGTTCTCGTATTTTCTTTGACTGCTTTCCCATTTCAACAGCAACCATGGGATTGAGTAGCTGTGACAGTGACCTCAAAGCCCTCAAAGACAAAAAGCTTTGCTATCAGACACTCTAAAGACTTGCCACCCTTCCCTCTCAGAACATTACCCCCTATATTTGTGAGAGTAATGTAAGCTCCTGTAACAAACCTCAAAATTTTGGTGTCTTAACACATGGTTTTAAAAGTTTGTCTCTCAGTCACACAATAGCCCAGCCAAGGTGTTCTGGGCAGAGGTAAGGCTGGGGTAGGGGCTCTGCTCCTGGGATCCAGGCTGATCACTGATCTAAGGCCACCCTGGCAGAAACATCCAGCCAGCAGACAAGGTGAAAAGAGAGAAATCATGCACAGGACACTTTCATGGGCTAGATATGGAAATGGCGCACGTCACTCCCGCCCACACTCCTTTGGCCAGAACTCGGTCACATGGCTGCACGTCAATGCACAGGATATTGGCAAATGTAGTTTACCAGTGTGCCCAGGAAGAAGAGAAAACAGGTTTTGGTGAACACATAACAGTCTCCAGCATAATCCCTACATGCTAATCATTTTTACACCCGGAAAAAAGTCTCCAGCTTTGACTTCTTGAATCTGTTTTGGAGCTCACATACAGTATGCATGTGCTTAATTTTTTTTTTAAATGTTTATGTGTCTAAAATTCTTTTAATTAAACTGGGGTAAATTCACCCTTACCTTTTTGAGATACCTACTGAAATATGTGCAAGTGAAATTATATGATGTTATGGAATTGATTAAAATGATCTCAGAGGGGGAGCGTATGGTAATATAGCTCAGACAAGATCAGCCTTGAGTTTCGTTGAAGCTGGGTTATGGATATGTAATAATTCAAAATATTATTCTCTTTACCTTTGTATATAGAAGACATTCCCCCCAAAAATGTATACACACACTTTGAATAATTATAAAGGCAGTGTTTATTAAAACACATTTCATTTTCAAAATTGAGCTATCGGTTGTTAAAGTGTGAATACATATTTTTGGGACACCCTGTAGTTAAAAGTATGTACTGCTTGTCAGAACCGGTAATACTAGCTGCTATAGCAAACATCCCCAAATCGCAGTGCTTTAAACAACAAAGTTTTATTTCTCAGTGTGCAAGGCTAAATGAAGATGTTCCTGGTCCCATGTTCTCTTTTGAGTAGTAACTCAGACAACAGGGCTCCTTTCACCATGTAGAAAGGGAAGAGAGCATTGTGTGTAGATGGTCACGCGGGATGTTTTATGGAGAAGAAGGACCAGAATTGTTCACTGTCCCATTGTTCTTTAGCTGTGAACCCAGGAAGGAGACAACTAGATCCTGGGGGAGGGGTGCTCTGAAATGTCCTACCAGAAAGGCGATCCAGGTCTGGTGGGAAGACGGCCACGCAATCAGACATTTTACTAGGTAATCAGATCAATAATGAAGATATGAGGATGGTGTAGTGGCAACTCTGAAGGAGGTAGGATTTTTAAGACTTTCATCAGCTATTGGTAAGATTTCATAAATGTGCTTGAAACTTAATTTGTTTAGGCTATTAAACTTGTCATTCTTTTTCCACAGAAACTGTAAGTCCGTGCTCCCCAACTCCTCAAAAGCAGAGCACCGCTGGCAGCCTTGTTTGACAGCTTAGTCACGGAGCATGGGCATTTATCGATCCTAGTTATGTGTGCTTACTAGAACATAAACTCACCTGGAATCTGGATCTCACAGCGTGAAAGGGTTTTAATAGCAGTCACTCATGCATTTGTTCGACATTTTATAAAGACTTCTGTCCCCAAAATTCAATTTACAATTTTTACAACATCTTACGAAGACTTTGATCTCCAGCTCTCCCTTTACAAATTTACAAGAATTTACACTCACTGCAAGGATTTCTTTCCAGAGTTTTTCAAAAGTTATTTTTCCTTAGGATCCAAAAATGTTAATTTTAGATGAGAGGAGAGGCTGTTGAGGTTCACATGTGGGGACTGTGTGTGATGAAAATGCAGGACATGGCAGGGCTGGGGATCCTAATTTAGAACAGCCTGCCCCAGGCAATAGGAAAGTCATTTGTCCCTGTGGGCCACTTCCCAATCTGGCACACGGGGGGTTTGAGCCAGCCCTAAGCTCTGTCTAGTTTGCCATCTTAATTTATATATTCCATCCATGTGCTGACTCTCCTGCCCCACCCCCCTTCTAAGTGATTCTAATTAAGAAACACACTGGAGGATCCTTATGGGATCTGAAAGCTGCTGGGATGCTCTCTTTGATCTCCCATCTGAACCGTGGACAGTCTATTGTTTCAAATTCTCCCCCAGCGCTCCAGTTGACAATTATTGGCATTTCAGAGCCTGGAGATTGCAATAAGATGCCTCATAGGACTGGCTGCCTAAAAATCCAAAGCAAGCACTCCTTCCAAACATCCCTCCCCTCCCCACCCCCCAAAAACACTGAAAAGGAAAAGAAATCGAGTGCTTTATAAACAGCTGCCAATTTGTTAATAAGACGCTAGAGCTGGTTAGAATTTTAAAGATACTGAAGGCATCTTTGGAGTGGCAACTAGCCCTTCCTTCCCCGGACACTAGGCCCCCACCAGCACCCCATAACTCAGCCACTCAGTGCTATTTAAATTCTGCAAAATGCTGCCGTGACCTGTGGAACGTGCGGAATGATGAAGGTGTTTCCTGCCTTGAACTGGGTCAGACTTGGCTGAGGTGCCCTGCGCGTAAAGATGTGAAGCCGTCGAAGGGCAAGTTGGTTTAAGAATCTTTCCTCGGTTT